GGTTGTACGTCTCACGGATACAGAAGAAGCTCTCCCTGAGGTTGTATGTCTCACGGATACAAAAGAAGCTCTCCCTGATGTGGAACTGAATGTGTCACCTCCAGAAACAGCATTTCTGGAGCTGCCCTCAGAGCTGAGTGAGATGCAGCCTCATCCCTGATGCGCCAGGATTTGGAAAGAGCATCTGCCAGTCGGTTTCATAGCATGTGGGAGTGAGGTGGAGATTAGGGTCAAGAAAGATGGGCTATTAAAGGATGCTGAATGCCTCCTCTGTGCTGCCACCTCAGCCTTCCCTGATCTAGTGCATCTAGGACCAACGGTGGACACAGAGGTCCTTCTTGTGGACCACAATGAGATCATTTGCTCTGCAGAAAAAAATATTTCCTTTAGAACTAGAGCAAAACTTAGTGTTCTCCTGTCTAGAGCCCTGCTCTACGGTCTCCCACGTGTGACCCCTGGATTTTACCGGTAGTGGTCCCTTTGGTTCTTCCTGGTTATGTTTTTGAAGCATTTATATGAAGTACAGGTAGTGAGGTTCCCAAACTGGGGATTTTTGAGGTTGATTTTCTGTTCCATGTACAAAGTAGGCACCATAATGTCAGAGAGCCTTTACCAAGCATTGTACAGAGTTTAGCAGCCAGGTGGCACAGTGGTTATTTGAATCCACCAGCTGTTCCTTGGAAACCGTATGGGGCAGTTCTACTCTGTCCTGTCAGGTTGCTATGAGGCGGAATCGACCCAATGGCAACAGGCTTTTTTGTTTTTTTTTTTTTAATAGAGTTTATCATCTAAAATGAACATGAGAACTTAGAATACATGTATGGGATGGCCCAATACTAGGACGATGCATTAAACTAAGATAGTTTATGCAGACTAGACTAGTGTTCATGTCATAAGGAGGCCATAGATAAGTGTATTTTTGAAAACATAGCCATCCCCTGAGGAATTCCTATGGCATCTCAGGATTACACTCATCTTGGGGGCATAGGGCTTCAGGTAATTTGACCGTGAACCCAGCTCCAGAGTCTCCATGGAGCTCACCTACCTTCTCTGGCTTTGCTTCCCACCTTTTCTTCTGTGACAGGCCCCCTGCCACACTGGACGTGGTTTGCTTATTGGCCTCTTGCCAAAGAGGATGGAGACCCAGAAAGAGTTTAGACACTTTGGTTGAAACTGGCCCTGTGAACTATGTGCAAGGTTAGGAAAGTCAGTTTTCTAAGTTATTAGTTTTATTTAAGTTACTAAAAATCATTTTTTTATAGCTACAGGGGTGCCTATAATTTAAAAAGTGTAGTTTCCAAACAGAATTTATGCTGCTGATTTACAAAAATCAGAAGATTCCAGAGGTGATCCTATCCCATGGAACACACTGGAATACTAGGATTGTCCAGTGACCCAATTAAAGAATAAAAACAAGTCTAGCTGTGTTGCTTTTATATTTCATATAACTGGCTTTCTACATCTGTCTGTTCTAGTTACTGATGGTTGTGTCCGTTGTCCTGGAAAGAAACCCTGAACTGGAATTTCAAGACAAAGTGGATCTAGACAAACTGGTAAAAGAAGCATTTCATGAATTTCAGAAGGATGAGAGTCGGCTAAAAGAAGTTGAAAAACAAGTAAGTAGAGAAAATAGCTTTTTGTACAATTTTTTCATTGTCTTAGTTCTTCAAAAAATTCCTAATCACTCATTTAACTTCAGAAACAGATTTACAGAGTGCAAAACAGAATATGTGAGGGCGGGGGGAGGCCTGACTTATTTGAGGAATTAATGTTACTTTTCATTTAACTACTAGTCAATTCAGGTATAAAATTCTGACGAAAAGAAACCTAAGAAGAGGTAAATTTCCTTTATATTGTTAACAGTCAAAATGTATTTTACCGGGAAGGAGCCATAGATTCCAGAATGCTGTGCCGTTCAGTTCTGGGCAGGATGGAAATGTGGTAACGACCTAGGCTGGTGTGTACCGCCTAATGTAGTCCCTTCCCGGCTCTCTCTCATGCTCGTCTGAGAAAAGGTTCCCTAAGTAAATAGAATGATCCGGAAAAAGGAGAGTATGGAAAATGTCTGTCTTTGTTTTTTATGCTGAGGTGACACCTCAGGGAAGTGAAAAAAAAAAAAAAGCTCAGGAAGCTCATACTTTCCACAAAGAAATCTTTCTGTGAATTTAATTTTCCCTCTAGGCTGACGGTGATTTTGCCTGTCAACTCTTTACAAACAAAGAATCAAACAACTTGCTTACTTTTTCTCTTTGTAGGATGACATGACTTCCTTTTACAACACTCCCCCTCTGGGAAAAAGAGGAACCTGCAGCTATTTGACAAAGGTTGTGATGAATTTGCTGTTGGAAGAAGTCAAGCCCAGCAATGACGACCCATGTCGGGTTAGCTAGTGAGGACCGTAGAACACACGTGGTCTAGAAGGGTGTGAAGCTTATTCAAGGCAGCCATGACTGTGTGGACAGTACTGGGAGCTGGCCGCCACGTCCTTCACAGAGCCGTCAGATCTCTCGCATGCCATAGCTGATCTAACGGTCAGGAGCGCGTCTCATCAAGCCAGAAGGGTTCTCGTCATTATGCCAACAACAGAAATAATCTTCGCTGAACAATAGAAATAGTTTGTGAATTGAAAATTCGCCTCTGCATGCTTCATGATCAGGTAGCTCATGAAAATGAAGCTTTGCTCTTTGGACTGAATTCCCACATCCCAAAAAACACAAGCCAAACCCACTGCCGTTGAGTCGATTCTGACTCATAGCCAACCTGTAGGACAGAGTAGAACTGCCCCATAGGGTTTCCAAGGCTGTAAATCTTCATGGAAGTAGACTGCCACATCCTTCTTCCGCCGAGCAGCTGATAGGTTCAAACCACTGCAACACCAGGGCTCCTTTAAACTCCCACTTTAGTGGCATTAACAAATGAATTTGCCAACTTGTAATGCATACTGGGAATCCAAAGGTATTGAAAGAACGGTGAATGTTTTTTGTGGCATTCTCATCCTGCTGCTGTTGTTGTTGTTGGGTGCTGTCGAGTCGTTTCCAACTCAGAGCCACCCGGCGTACAACAAAATAAGACACTGCCTGGTCCTGCGCCATCCTCACAATTGCTGCTGTGTTTGAGCCCATTGTTGCCGCCACTGTGTCAACCCATCTCGTTGAGGGTCTTCCTCTTTACACTGACCCTCTACCAAGCATGATGTCCTTCTCCAGAGACTGATACCCTCCTGATAACATGTCCAAAGTACGTGAGATGAAGTCTTGCCATCCTCGCTTCCAAGGAGTATTCTGGCTGTACTTCTTTGAAGACAGACTTGTTCATTCTTTTGGCACCCATGGTATATTCAGTATTCTTCGCCAACACCGTAATTCAAAGGCATCAGTTCTTCTTCAGTCTTCCTTATTCATTGTCCAGCTTTCACATGCATATTAGGCAATTGAAAATACCATGGCTTGGGTCAGGCACACCTTAATCCTCAAGGTGACATCTTTGCTTTTTAACACATTAAAGAGATTTTTTGCACCAGATTTGCCCAATGCAGTGCAATTTCTTGACTTCTGCTTTCATGGATGTTGATTGTGTATCCAAATAAAATGAAATCTTTGCTAACTTCAATATTTTCTCCGTTTATCATAATGTTGCTTATTGGTCCAGTTGTGAGTTTTTTTTGTTTTTGTGTTTATGTTGAGGTGTAATCCATACTGAAGGCTGTAGTGTGATCTTCATTAGTAACTACTTCAAGTCCTCTTCACTTTCAGCAAACACGGTTGTGTCTTCTGCACGTAGCAGGTTGTTAATGAGTCTTCCTCCAATCCTGATGCTGCCTTCTTTATATTGTCATGCTGAGAGATGTTAATATGCGTCATAAAAGCAAAGCCGACCAGCTAATATTTGGATTCCCAGTAACTGCATTATTTATTATATTTTAGTACACAGAGCTATTTTTCAGTTTTTACCTTGTTAACATGACTATGGTTTTGTACTTGTGCTAACTCTAGAGGTTGGATTAAAATACAATGAATCTATACTGTATGAAACACTTCTGAGCTTCTACTAAAAATAGAACTTGTGTAGGGTTGTTCAGAAGTACATTAAATTATAGGACTGTTAGTTTGTACTAGTAAAAACAGAATTAAAAGTCATTAAATTTTATTTCTGAGTTAACGATTGTCTGGTGGTTGGTGGTGGTGGTTGCCATTGTATTCCCGGGTTCACATAGTTGAGTTTATTACACTTGAATAGTTTACCGGATTTGAAGATGGACTAGAAGAGACTCTGTAGTACCTTCTGTTACACATATCTTGCCACCAAATTGACTTAAGTAAACTTTAATAAAAATGGAAAGTAGATTAAACACTGGTGTTTTATAAATTTAGTTCCTTCTTAAATGTTACAGTTCAGCCCACTAGTTTGAGTCCTGGCCCCACAGTGAGTCAGTTTTCTGACCAGTTTGATTGTGGAGTTTCACTTGAGAAGTCAGCAGACTTGTCACATAAACAAGTCAACCCATTTGTAGAGTCTTGAAGGGAGCTAAGAAAGAAGAGACAAGTGGCTTCATTGATGAGTCAAACTGATAGCGAATAAATGGATGTGTGAGCACGTGCAAAACTCTGGAGACTCAGTCACATTTCTCAGAACTTAGAGGTACACTGCCTGGATCTGGCATAAGAAATTTATATTCGTTGGTTGACAAAACTGAGAAGAATCTGACCTTATAAAGTATTTTAAGAAGAGTGGTAAGACCAAGAAGGGAATTAAGTTACATTACTCTATTTAAGAGAGTTTAGGAAAAGGCGGTCCTGAATGATGAACTAAATTATAAAACTTAAGCATGAAGCTCATGGAGAGAGAATTGAGGACTGATACTTCATTGCTGGGAAAACTAGAAATTTAAGACAAAAATCCTCGAAATAGTTAATGTTTTGCTGAAATTTGGAGGAAAGTATATTCTATTTTTAAGGATTAAAAAAAAAATTCCGATCAGCTGAGCAGAGTTGCCAGAAATCTGCTGCTGTCTTAGTTGGAATCGGATATCATCTGCAAATGTATGTTTCCTGAATGATTTTTAGCTTCCTGCTTAAATGTTACATATACGAAATTCTGAGGTTTTCACATGGTACTGAAGGCATTCAGAATCTGTGACATATGTATCAACAATACGTTTTGATGAAATTCAAAATTTATTGTTCTGAAAGATACACTGGAATCAGTAAATCTTGATGTTCACCTCTGCAAAAACCGATACCTATTTTCTAGTTAGAAAAGCAAAAAACAATAAGAATTAGAACTCAGAGCGCATATGAATTTTACAAGCCCCATTTGGCCTATATTTTGCAGAGCAAAAATGTTTTAACAGCTGTACTAGAGACTGACTGAAAATATTAGCACATTTATCCAGGCATGACAAGATTTAAATCTGATTTAAAGCTTCCTCTATCACAATGGCAGATTCACTGTGTAAATTTATTGTACAGGCAACGTCTGTTGGAAACTCCTGACTGAATATCAAATTCCACTGCATTCCCAGAGCATCATTTTAAGAAACATGGTGTTTTCCAGATTTCCTGCCATTTTATTTAAGTCTGAAAAAGTCATATTCCAGTGTTTAAAAATCTGAGCATGGGATCATCTTGATGCCATGTTCAATATGTGATAAGCTTGCAGTGCCTTATGGACACCAAATAACATTTATTGAACATCTGAATGCATTTAACTTTTCCCTGAAACTCTATAAAGAGGAGATTCAAAGACGTACTTCGAGCCCTCCATGAGTATTGCATATTAAATAGATGGCATATAAAAGTTTAAAAGTCAACACAATGAAGACAGAGACCGAATTTCAATCATACGTGAAGGTTGGAAGTAGCATGGTAGCATGCAGCCAGATCATAAAACTCCCGTATCCCAGGAACTAAAAACATGAATGAAAATAAGGAGGGAAGGACCAGCAAAACACCACCAGCAGCATTCCAGCAAAGGAAGCAGGACGACCTCATACCATAAACTCTGAAAAGCAGCAGAAGACAAAAGACCCATTGGAATTAGTATTTGGCTCCTATATTCCGGCCTCCCAGAAGCTGTGTAGGGGTGAGGACACGGCGAATAGATAAATTATGAAAAGCCTGATGCATGTGGAAGGACGCTGATGAGTGCCGAGTCAGCATCTAGGGGGAAAGACCAGGAGTGTCCCTCCAGGGTGAACACTCTTCCCCCACCGCGTGTACCACTGCCAACGTCTTACTCTCCAGCAGGCTAGTGATACCTTTATGTGAATTAGAAAAAGGCATCTCTTCTGTGAGTGCAAAGTTTAGTGAACAGGTGACACCCTTGTGCAAAGAAAAAGGTCCTTTCTCTAAGCAGGTGCAACCTCATGCCAGGGCACATGGAGAGGCAAGAACAACTGGACCTCAGCCCCCGGCTCCTCTTGGTGCAGTGCACGCACTGCGGGACAACTTGCCACAATGCCACAAGGAAGAGAACAGCTATTGGGAGTGGGCATCTTGATTTTCCAGCTGGGAGGGAGGCAGATGAGGAGCAATGGTGATCATGATCCCCCAGAGCTAGTTACATCCAACGATTGATGGTCTGAGAACTAATACCCCTGAGCTGTGTCTTCTTGCCTGAGGGGAGGGCGCAGTGGGGCTTGTAGGCCATGGTGTTGGTGGATTTGGTGGCTGCCCTTTTCTTCCCTATAGTTTTGTTTAAAATACTTGAACCCACAATGCCTCATCAAGGGCATATCCTGTTTCCAAGGACAATGTCCTACAGTATGGGATTGTTCCTCCAAACAGGCTAAACTTTGTTTGCCTTTACTCATGTTAGAAATGGGAAGCCTTGGAGGTAAATCCCCCACTTCACTCCCTGTGCTCAGAAGTTGCCCCCACTCTCCTCCTAGCCAGAGAGGAAAATGGGTGAAACAAGTAACTTTTGTCTCTTACTCCTCAATGGGAGTAGAGAAGCTTGGGTACAGCTTTCCACCAGCCCATTTCCCCTCCCCTCAGTTGGTTCTTGTCTTCTTTTTTTCTTTGATCTTTTCTGCCTTTCTGAGGGCTACATATTCCTGACTTGTGTCTTACTGCCTGAGACTGAGGGACTCGGCTTGAAGCTGCTGGAAGAGGACAAAATATTCAGATTGGGTGGAAAAGGTTCAAGAGACCACACACAACTATATCTGGGCACCCACAAAGCTGATGTGTCAGGCGTGAGAAAGGTGTAAAGAAACTGCCTGCAAATTATGTTAAAATACTACAGAAAAAAAGGATAGATAGAGAACCCATTTTGAAAGAAAATTCAGGAAATAGAGCATCCTTCACAACAAATGCCCTATGCTCTAAGAGAAATTAAAGAGAAAAGGAATCAATGAAAGAAGAAATCAAAGACAAAACAAGACAATATA